GGTGTTCCATTGCCTGGTGCTCTCTGCCCTCAGGTCTTTGCATGAGTGGCTTTTTCTTGCTGTTCAAGACTCAGCAATGTTACCTCCTCAGTAAGACTTCCGTGGCCACACTCGAAATTAATGTTTAGAACATCACCATTCTTTATTTCCATTAAAGCTTTCATTTTTATCTGAAATGATCTTGTCTGTGATTATTGGATGTTTCAACCAACTAAAATATAAATGCCATAACTGCAGGGACCTTGTCTCTTTTTTTCTTATGTGTGCCCCATTGCTTAGAATATTTCCTGAAACTGAAGTGTTAAAGAAATGATTAAATGACTGCATAAATGAATATCCTTGTATATTGATCTCTTTCATAGTTGCTTTAGTAATTCATATCTCCTCATTTTGGGGAGGACTCCTTAAGCTGGCTTTTTTTTTTTTTTTTGTCCTTTTTGTGACCGGTAAGGGGATTGCAACCCTTGGCTTGGTGTTGCCCACACCGTGCTCAGCCAGTGAGCGTTCCGGCCATCCCTATATAGGATCCAAACCTGTGGCGGGAGTGCCGCTGCGCTCCCAGCGCTGCACTCTCCCGAGTGTGCCACGGGGTCGGCCCTTTAAGCTGGCTTTTTACTTGATCATTTTTCCAGTCATGTTGATCCTACCATCACTCCACTGTGTTATTCTAATGTGGATTGCCAGTTGTGGCCTTTGAACCCTCTGGCTGTGGCAATGGGCATGTGACTGTTTCAAGCTGGGCCAACCAGTCATTCTCCTGGATACTTCAATTTTGAAGAAAGGAAGAGGGAGGCTTTTCAGGTGGCAGGGTGTGAGGTGTGAATCTGGGGCTATTGGTGGCCATATACACACCCAGGTAGAAGAAGCCATTCTACAAGAGGAGAAAATGAAGGTGTTACGCAGAAGCAGAGATGGGATAGGGAAGGTGAGTCCTGGTGGTTTTCTAGTGACTGCTTCATTTGTGCCTGAGGCCCAGTTGCAACCCCTGATTTTCCGGTGACTTTTGCCTTACCCAGTTCAAATTGAATTTCTGTAACTTATAACCAAAAATCTGAATTAGATCAGTGTATAGCTTTATTTTCATTTTAACCTGCATGTCAATTAACAACCTTTTCATCTTGATGTGTTTTATACAGTATCTTTGGATATCGATCTGTTGCATACTTGAATTTCTTGTTTCTAAAAATCCATGTTTTTGGGCCGAGCCCGTGGAGCACTCGGGAGAGTGCGGTGCTGGGAGCGCAGCGGCGCTCCCGCTGTGGGTTCGGATCCTATATAGGGATGACCGGTGCGCTCACAGCGCTCACTGGCTGAGCGCGGCGCGGCCGGTCTCAAAAAAAGGACAAAAAAAAAATCCATGTTTTCTACCCCCTTCCCCCATTTCTTACTTTAAGACACAAAGCAGTTGCTGCCTAAATTTATTCTACTTCCAGTACTATTCTTCTTTTTTTTTTTTTTCCTTTTTGTCTTTTTTCGTGTCCGGCAACGGATCGCAACCCTCAGTGTCGCGCCCGTACTGGACTGGGACCACCAACGGGATCGCAACCCTCGGCATTGCTCCCACACCTCGCTCAGCCAGTGAGCGGGAACCGGTCTGTATGTGGGATCCGAACCCTCGGTGGGAGCGCCACCGCACTCCCAAGCGGCGCACTGTAGCAGTGCGCCACCGGGCCGGCCCCCAGTACTATTCTATTTTAGGACTTTGTCCTCCTTTTTTTTCAGAAACATATTGGTTAAAAGTGAGTATATCCCATCTTATTATTAATATTATTATTATTTAACTCATCCTTGAAGCAGGTTTATTGGGTTCTTCCTGGATTTTCTCTTTCAGCTTTTATGCTTTAGAACAGCCAGGTTAGGGCCGGCCCGGTGGCGCACTGCTACAGTGCGCCGCTTGGGAGTGCGGTGGCGCTCCCACCGGGGGTTCGGATCCCACATACAGACCGGCCGCTCACTGGCTGAGCGAGGTGCGGGCACAACACCGAGGGTTGCGATCCCGTTGCCGGTCCCGGTCCAGTACGGGCGCTACACTGAGGGTTGCGATCCGTTGCCGGTCACGAAAAAAGACAAAAAGGAAAAAAAAATAGGAACAGCCAGGTTAATACCCAGTATCTTGAGGGTGGTAGAGAGATAACCTGGGTAGTGAGCACACTTGAGAGAGGAGCTCACTTATGGATGATATCTTCCCTATTTTTGGTAAACTGCTGTGGCCTGACCTTCCTGGTGCTGCTGATGAGTACCTGAGGGAGGAGCCCTGATGTTCTGGGGAGAAGTCCTCCACCATTGCAAATGGCTCTCTGCTTGGTGTACTGCTTGCCTCTTACAATTATTGCACTGCTCTCAAATCCCACCAATTCACACAGACTCCAGGTAGCATAGTCCACATCTGTCCCATAATTTCTACTTCTAACCTCTTCTACTTCGGGGTGTTGCAAGAAATTATTTCAGGCTAAGAAATGTTCTCAGGAAGCTGAGTTGTAAGTTGGCTCTCAGTATCTTTGACCAATCTAGTTCCATTTGTACTATGTCAACAAGAAAATTTGAGATTTTTTTGTAATTTGTTCCTTCATTGATTTATTCATTTAGTAAATATTTATTGTGCATATACTGTGTGCCAATAATTCTTCTAGACAGTGAACATATCAGTGTCTAGAATGAGACTTTTCTGCCTTTCATGGAGCTTTTATTCTAGGTGAGGAAACAAATAATAAACAAGTACATATATAATGCATATATAATATTAGATAGTGGTAAATGCCACATGAAAAATAAAGCACAAGGGAACAGAGAGTGATAGGGATAGGGCTGTTTTATTGAGGGTGGAAAGAAGGAAGGCTTCTCTGAGGAGGTGACATTTGAATAGAGACATGAATGAATCAGGGATCTAGCCATGCGAGAGTTCCTGGCAGAAACGGCAGCCAGCATATGGCTCTAAGGAGATGAAGAGCATGGTAGGATTGTAGAATAAAGCACCAGGGTGTCTAGAGTAGAGGGAAGGGGAAAGTGGAAGGAGATGAGTTCCTGAAGTTAAGAATGGGAAAACATGTTTTTCATGTCCATTCTCCAGGGGAAAGATAATGTCCTGCATATTGTCCCCAGTGGCTAAAATTCACAGCAATCTTCTGTGACACCGATTGGTAACCCGAAACACTGGTGATTTATGGTTATGAACTGCAAACTAATCGTAGGAAGTTAAGAGTGTTTAGAATGATAGGTTTGAAGCAGTTATAAAAGAACTTCAGAAGGAAGAAATGACCAGGAGGTGAGATGAGATCAAATAATCTTGGAAAAGATGGCAACTTGAGCAAAGGTTTCTAACACTGTCCATATGAATACTTAAGTGACTGGCAGTTACAGAACAACGTTGGCCCCTGTCATCTAAATATACACTGAATTTGAACATTTTTTATTACTTCCACTGCTAGTTAATTATAGTTGGAAAACATTAATACTTTAATTCATCACACCTAGAGCCCACAATTAACATAGTAGTGGATCTTTAGGGACTTTTGAGTTTACTTCTGGAAGAAGGATTGGGAAGACATGAGATGTTGATATGAGTTGGTTCCAAGATGTGGAGAGGTAAGTGATTTCCTTCATTTCTCAAGGGGGAGGGTTGAGAATACTAATTACTAAAACCTTATATTTGAATGAGTTATAGGTTGTAACTATAGTTATAGATTACTAATACCTTATATTTGAATAAGTTATGGGTTACAGTGTACTTCTATATCTGTGAATTATATTGAAACAGGTATGTTTGTATTGCTTTTCCGATAGGAGACACAGGCCAGACAGACCACCTGACTGGCTCAAAGTCACAGATGGTTAAGGGCAGAGCCATCACTAGAATTCTGGTCTTTGACTATGCTCTGTCACTCTATTAATGATAACAAGCTGTTTCAATAGGATGTTGTCAAAGAAAAGCCAATTGCCCTCCTTTTTCTTGTCCGACCTCAATTGTACCCTTCTAAGGTAACATATATTAACAATGTTGTAAGTACACAGTCTGCCTGCTTTCCTGTCTTAGTCTGTTTGTGCTGCTATAACAGAATCCACAGACTAGGTAATTTATAAAGTACAGACATTTATTTTTCTCGCAGTTCTGGAGATGAGAAGTCTAAGATCAAGGTGCCGGCAGGTTTGGTTGTTTGGTGAAGGCTGCTCTCTGCTTCCAAGATGGTGGCTTAATGCTGCATCCTACAGAGGGGAGGAATGCTGTGTCCTTATATGGTGGAAGGTGGAAGGCAGAAGGCAAGCAAGAGAAGTGTGTGAATCCTGTTTTATAAGGGCCTTGATCCCATTCACAAGGGAGAAGACTTCATGGCCTGATCACCTTTTAAAGGCTCTGCCTCTTAATACACTCATATCATGTTGGCAATACCTGAATTTTGGAGTGGACACATTCAAACCATAGCAATTTATGTATTTGTCTATCTATTCTTTTCCTCTGTATACATGTGAGGGTACTTCAGAAAGTTTGTGGACAAAAAGAATCAAAAGATGATACAATCTATGAACTTGTTGAAATACTCTCATATAGTAGTTTATTTTCCCCTGGGCTTTATAGATTTGAATCACACTGTGCATATTAGTTTAAATCTTTAGCCATATGTCATGGTCATACATCTTGCTAACTAATTTCTCTTCTTTGTATGCCTGTATTGTTTGATTTATTGCGGAGTATGTATTGCTTTTAAAAGGAAAATTCAATAATGCATGTAAAGTGAAAAATGTAATGCCAATGTATGATACGATTTTGTCACATACAAATGATTTATTTACTACTTAAAGTGTAAGAAAAGGAGTACATTTATTGACAGTTCTTTATTTGCTACAGGTTTTTTAACTTTACTCACATTTTTTTTTTTTTTAAGAATAAAAATTAACTAAGGTCAAGGATTTTGAGTCCTGTACCAATCAGCTGTCCCCCCACAAAAAAAAAATTTGTAGCATTAACTCACATTTCCTTTTCTAAGTGAATTCAATGTATTTTTCAGGTTACTATATCCGGGAAAAGTCTAAGCAAGTCATAACATTGCTGATGGATGAAAAGTTGCTGTATAAAGAGAGGGAAGTGGCATGTCGGACTAGATGGCGTACCTCCTACTCTGTGACATTTCCTAAAAGATTACCTGGTACAGGTAACTCACCAACAGCATGTGCTTCTGTCCCTGCACCAGAAATTCCTGCCTCAGAGAAGCAGCAAAAACTTCTTAAGTTTGCAAGGCTACGTCACAAAAGTGCGTATAATGAACATTGGCCTAAGATGCAATAAGTATCATTTAAGAACAATTAAAAAGAATAAAACATTAGGTTTTAGGACTAACTAACTGATATTTTATTAGTACTGCTATTACTATATTATACTTCTAACAAAGATGAAGAATATTCGGTAGAAAATTTTATGATTATTTTCTGAATGCAGTTATCTTGGATTCAATTGTTTTTGAGCTTAAAAGGTATTAAACTAGTGACTAACCTATTTGGCATTGTGATTCAATTTTAAGATTTTATGCATGACCGAAATATGAAGGAATATTGTCTTTTGAAACTAGCGTCTGGGTATGAGTGCATGGGTACTATCTGATCCTACAAATTAAGAAATTGAAATTTTCTAAAATGTGCTTCAAAATTCTAAGAGTGCTCTAAAAATACTTCTAGGATAATACTTTGTATGCTTTCCTTTGCCTAAAATTTTAAATCTGGACTTTAGAACTTTTTTTAAAAAAGGGATTTATTTATAATGTTATAATAGAAATCATTGGGACAATGTTATTTATCTTTCTACCAAATTTGCTGAAACTGAAAGGAATGTCATTTTGCCCTAAATTCTCCAGTACAACCTCCATTGATAAGTTGTGTATGAGGGAATGGATAGTTTGACAAAGCGAAAACATTAATGAAATGTGATTTAGATAACTGTCCCTTGAAGGAACTAAACTTTGTGCCGTAAGTGAGGGGCACAGTAGTGGTTACATAGTTACAAGTATTTTCATAGGCTTTATCATGTAAATCTATTGTTAGGGACTGATAGAGTTTGGATGTGTTGTCCTCACCAAATTCATGTGCGAATCTGATCCCCAATGTGGCAGTGTTGGGAGCTGTTTGAGTCATGGGGGTGGAGCCCTCATGAATGGATTAATGCTCTCCCTGGCAGAGGGGAGCCTGAGTGAGATCTTGCTCTGTTAGTTCCCATGTTGCTCTGTTAGTTCCCATGAGAGCTGGTTGTTTAAAAGACCCTGGCACCTCCTCCACCCTCTTTCTTCCTCTTGCCATGTGATCTGTTTGTACCCGCTGGCTGGCTGCCTGCCGCTTTCGGCCATGAGTAGGAATAGCCCGAGGCCATTGCTAGCTGCAGCTGTCCCAGAATCGTAAGCCAAATAAAACTGTTCTTTATAAATTACCCAGTCTCAGATATTCTGTTATAGCAACATAAAACAGACTAATACAGGGACTGAATGTTTGTGTCCCCCACCCCCCAAATTCATATGTTGAAATCTAATCCTCATCATGATATTTGGAGGTGGGGCCTTTGGGAGGTGATTAGGTCAAGAAAGTGCCTCCCTTATGAATGGGATTAGTACCCTTATGAAAGAGACCCCAGTGAGCTTTCTTGCCCTCTGTGAGGATACAACAATAAGTCAGCAGTTTGCATTCCACAAGAGGGCCCTCACTAGAACCCGGCCACGCTGGCACTCTGATCTGGGACTTCCAGACTCTGGAACTGTGAGAGAGAAATTTCGATTGTTTATAAGCCACCCATTCTGTGGTACTTTGTTATAGCAGCCTGAGCTAAGACATCTATTAAAAGAGCTACAGATATTCAATATGAATAGGTAATTCCAAATGTTAGTTAAGTGTGGAGGTTTAAAAATGTTAGTAGTAATACCAACACAGACTAATCCTGCTAAAAATTTTGGGTACTTCTCTGACATAGTCAAGAGTTCTCAAATGTTCGCTCAATTTGTACTTGTGGATTGGGAAGGTAGAGGTTAAAAGAGGTTGCCACTGTAGTTAGAATAGTAAATACCATCCAAATGCTTCTAAAAGTAATGGAATCTCTTTCTTTAGGGTACCCACTTCTTTTTTTTTTTTTTTTTTTTTTTTTTTTTTTTTTCTCTTTCTTTAGGGTACCCACTTCTTTTTTTTTTTTTTTTGTCTTTTTGTCTTTTTCTGTGTCCGGCAACGGATCGCAACCCTCAGTGTTGCCCCCGTACTGGACCGGGGACCGGCAACGGGATTGCAACCCTCGGTGCCGCTCCCGCGCCTCGCTCAGCCAGTGAGCGGGAACTGGTCTGTATGTGGGATCCGAACCCTCGGGCGGGAGCGCCGCCGCGCTTCCTAAGCGGTGCACTTATCCAGTGCGCCACCGGGCCGGCCCGGGTACCCACTTCTTGTGAAATAAATCTCCAAAAGGGACAGTGACTAATTCTGAAATTTTCTCATGGAAGCCTTGAATTCAAACTGACACTAAAAACAGAGTAACAGAGCAAAATAACCAGTTATGACTTATCCAGAGTTTCTTCACTCTTTTTGCTATTTCTCTGTTACCTTTCTTGCTCCTCCTCCTATTTCTTTTCTTACTCTTTCCTCTTTCATAATAAACACATAATTATTGAATTTATTATTTGAAATTTGGGTATCTAGCAGAAATTTGGAGCTACAGCTGTGAATAAAATAAAGTTCACCATGGAACTAACGTTCTAGTGACAGAGACATATTAAACACACATAAACAAAATAGATATAAAATATGTCAGATAGTAACAAGTCTTATAAAGAAAGGGAAAGCAGGGTTAGGGGACAGTGTATGTCAGGGATGGCTTTATTTTAAGTCAGGTAGTGAGGGAACGCCTTTTTTAGGAGGTGAATGTTTAAATAGATGCCTGAATTAAGTGAGGGAGCAATCCATGTATATCAGGCCAAGGGAACAGCAGGGGCAAATGCCCTGAAATTGCAGCAGACTGGGAGTGGTTAGTTGTAAGCTTAGGAAATGAGTCCCTAAATCGATACAGAAGTAACTCAACTCTTATTTTATGGTTCACACAAGAAACTCCAGTTTATTGCTTTATAGTCACAGATTGGTTTTTTTTAACCCAAAATGATATTCCTCAGCTTCATGACATGTTTTATTCACTAGACTGAGCTCTGAATGACTTTTGACTATTTTGAAAAAGTCAATCCACCTTCAAGTGAAGTTTTGCTACAATTAATTTTTTTAATACTCCAAACTTGTACTGAGTACCTACTTAAAATATGCTAGACATTGTTCTAGGCACAGTAAGCAAATTGGGTATATTTCTGCTCTCACAGAGCTTATATCTTGTGATGTAATATGTGCTTTTGAGTCTGTTTCACAAAAAGTTGTTCCAAAGGAGTTTTGATAAATGATGGCATCCCTGAAGTAAATCTATAGTAAGACAGTGATTTATAGTGAATAGTTAATGTTTGGATGTAAAAGCTGTAGTAAATTTGTTACAAAATCTGTTACATTATTTTTCATTTACCCCCTAACTCTACACATACATACTAGATATATTGATATGTGTGTTTATGTTCAAAAAAGAGTAATTGGATTAAGTAAATTTAGCAATACTAACCATCTTCGTGTAGGCATTTGAATCTGAAGCTGTATTTTAAAGGAAAAAAGAAAACACAGTTTGGGAGTGAGGTGGGAAAACATAATAAATTGGGGAGCATTCTTAATGGGACAGGAGAAGTAACAAATGAAAACTTTGAGACTGGTAGATCAGTTAGAATTAGGTGTATCCACAAATCATAGTAGTAGAGGCCACAAAGGTGCTAGCAGCTTAAACATGATAGGAATTTATTTCTCTCTCCTTAAATAATCTAGAGTAGATTTTCTATGACTGATGTGGCTCTCTCCAATGTCAGGGGTCTAGGGCTCTTTATGTCTTGTTGCTACACCATATTCAGCATCTAACTTCCACTTTATGATCCACTTCCGCTTCGTGTTCAATAGCTGCTTGAGCTCCAGCCATCACATCTGCATTCTATCCAGTAGGAAGAAGAGGTTGAAAATACAAATGGCTGCTCCTTTTAAGGACACTCATTAAAAGTTGCTTATAACATTTTTTTATTGTTTGGCACTTGTTCACTTGGATACTCTTAGCTGCAAGGGAGGCAGAGAAATGTAGATTTTATACTAGACAGCTATGTGCCCAGATGAAAGTTAAGAGATTTTGTTATTAAGTAAGAGGGGGAGAATAAACATAGGGGGCGACAAGTAGGCTCTACCATAGTGAGAAAGAATACAAACAAGAAATGGATTAGCATGGTAACATTTGGTTATCTGACAAAAAGGAATAAAGAATAGAAATTTGAATATGTGGAAAAATATGGGCAGATCAGAATATTCAGAGTAATTCATCAAGAACATAATAAACAATATTTAGAAGGAGATACGAATTGGAGGGAAGCTTTGTAAGAGTCAGTTGTTTCAATTTCCGGCATCCAGGACCTGCTCTAGGGTTATAGAAAGGAGGGAACAGTAATGTTTAATGATAGAATATAGAGGCAATGGGATAAGTGGATGATGAATTGGAGAAGAAAGAGAGAAATTGAAAATGACTCTAACAGAAAATGGAGGCAAGTGGTGCTGTCATACAGGTAAATTTCCATCAGGAGGAATTTAAAGATATCTCTAAGTTATTTAGTTATAGTGAAATGTAAAACTGGCTGCATTGCTAGGAATCCAGTTCCCAGGCTGTAGGCTCTAGAGCTGAAACAGCTGTGCCTAGCTTCTTTGTGGCAAATTAGTAATGGAAAAGAGGTACTTTAAAGAAGGTGTTATATACACATCACTTCTTTTTCCTCCCTATTCCTGAATATTTTCCTTAAGTTTTAATTCTCCTAGATAGCGTGGGTGGTTTTTGTTTAGATGACTTTGATGTTTGAAGGAAGAGATGAGCTGAAGTATAATTGCTGCTTGATAGCAAGACAGAGAAAACTACAAAAAGCACAGTTATAACACTGCTTCTTTGACCTGTAAGTATCAGAGTTAGGCCCTTTCCTTTAGCAGCAACAATTATTTCAAAAACTGTCTCCAGAGACATTGCTTACAACCAGACCAGCAAAACGTTACCTGTGTTAGTCATCTGATCTTCCATAAAGAGCTCGTTAGTAACAGTATGAAATGGAATTTTACCTGTATTATAAAAGGATTGCTCTAGTCTATGTTAAATGTAATAGCATTCTGTATCATGAAATATTTCCCTGCA